ATCTTGGGGGCTCCTTGTTATGATTAGAGTAGAATATACCCCAAAGCGCTATTCTGATTATGAAGGCCCCTACATTTGTGTTTATGGTTTAGGGTTTAGGGGTTTAGCGGTTTACTGTTCGGGGTTTAGGGGTTTGGGGCTTTAGGGTTTAGGGGTTCATCTTAAGGGATGGAGTTTGAGTTATCGTAATAGGGATGTATAGCAAAGGTTACCATAATAGGGAGGTATCGTAAAACTTATCACACTGGGGATCTATCGTAAAAGTTATCATAATAGGGGTCTATCGTAAAAGCTGCCATACTAGGGATCTACAGCAACTCCTGCGGGTTTACTGATTATGGTATCTTAGCCTAAGCCCTTCAACGAGAACCCTAAACCCTAAACCCTAAACCCTAAACCTTAAACCTTAAACTTAAGCCCTAAACCCTAAACCCTAAACCCTGAACCCTAAACCCTAAACCCTAAACCCTGAACCCTAAACCCTAAACCCTACACCCTAAACCGTGAACCCAGGTTGGCCCCACAGCTGCCGGCATCCGAGGCTGCGGCTGCAGCCAAGGCCGGCCCGAGGCGGCTGGTGCCGGTCTGCGTGGCGTGGCTGCTGCTTGCTGCGGCCACGTCTCCCTTCGGCGTGTGGCCGGAGCTCCTGCCCTAAACCGAAGTAACATAGAGGATTATAGTAGACCTTATTTTCACGGATTCTGAGCATGCTATGAAGCTACCATTAGAATTACACTGCTTCTAACCATCAAGGCCCCTATTACCCTATACTATCACTCTTTCTGTTTCCTTCGTCCTTGGGGCAAAGCTACGGCAGGAGCGTACACCCTAAGCCCCACACCCCAAACCCTAAAGTCTAAACCCCAAACCCTAAACCCTAAACCCTAAACTCTAAACCCTAAACTAAAACCCCTAAACCCTAAACCCTAAACCCCTAAAAGGAGCTCTGGGGCGGTGACGAAGTGCAGAGCCGACAACTTCGGGGCGCCGGCCTGGCAGCGCTGGGCGTGGGGAGCTTCGCCCTGGCGGTGCACCAGGGCCTGCAGCTGGGCGCAGTATGGTGTAGTTTTGGGTTTAGGGTTTAGGGTTTAGGGGTTTAGGGTTTAGTATAGTGAAGGGTTTAGGGTTGAGGGTTGAGGGATATAGTAGAGTAGAGTATAGTATAGTATAGTGTAGCATTTTGTATTATGGTGTAGCAAAGGGATATAGTACAGTAGCGTAGAGTAGAGTATAGGATAGGACAATATGGTATAGTAATGTAGTATAGAGTAAGTATGGTACGGTATAGTATAGTAGAGGACAGTATAGTTATGTATAGTAAAGTGTAGCATAGTAGAGTAAAGTATAGCATGGTAGAGGAATGTATAGTGTAGTACACATTTATAGTAGATGTCCTTATAATATAGTAGAGCAGAGTAGGGTATAGTAGTGCCACGGGAGCCCTTCAATCCAAGGATTTGGGGTTTACGGCCTCGAAGGCTTTTAGGTTTAGGGTTTAGGGCTTGCTGCAGCTTATTTCTTCGCTTTACGGAGATAGTTTCGTAGTGCCAGCCTGCTGAGAGCTGTGCTCACAACGCCCTGGCCCGAAGATTGCGCCTGCCCACAAGCCGAACTCATCCAAAACCCAGCATCTCGCCCTGGCGCACTTTGTATCTCTCTTTCCAAGGGTTTAGGGTTTAGGGTTGAGGGTTCAGGGTTTAGGGTAAAGCCCTAAAAGCGGAGATATGTTCCCAACCATAAGACCTGAATGCAGCTCCCTGGGATCCCCTTTGCGTCAGCAGTCGGAGGCCGCGGCCCCCTGCCCCGAACCCATGGCCTGGCCCCCAAACCCCAAAGCTAAACCCCGGCCCTGAATCCAACGTCCGGTTTAGGGTTTAGATATTAGAAATTAGGGTTTAGGGTTTAGGGTTTAGGGTTCAGAGTTTAGGGTTTAGGGTTATTTGGGGTTTAGGGTTCCATACTCCCTAACCCTTCCATACTCCCTAACCCTTGAACTCTTGGACCTTAAAAATCCCCGTAGCCCTGAGAGTTAACGCCCTGATGCCCTGAAAGTCTTCAATCCCTAACAGGGGTCGTTCTTTCAGCTGCGTGTCTCGGCTTACAAAGTCGTATTGGGCATCTGTTTGTAGTTTGGTTCCTGACTGTCAGAGTTCTGAAATAGTAGGCCGAATGTAGGGGCCTCAATATTTACCGATGCTATTTTGGGAGTTCCGTATTATAATTATTCTAGAATACACCCCAAACCCTAGTCTATGTTTTAAAGCCCCTACATTAATTTTAAAACCGCCCTAGCACTCCTACAATCCCTACAGACTGAAAGCCCTTATCGAGCATCGCAAAAAAACCTGATGAGACCCTCGCAGAACAAATCTCTCTAAAACCCTTATACAACCTTTTTTCCCTACTCCATACCCTCAACTCTAAACCCTTAGTCCTAAATCGAACTCCATACCCTCAACCCTAAACCCTAAGCCCTAAATCGAACTCCATACCCTAAACCCTAAGCCCTAAATATAAACCTTCTTGTAACTCCAGGCCCGGACACATCTGCTTCCTGGCGAACGGCGTGGCCACCATCTGCGGGGCCGCGGCGATGGCCTTCGCCAGGGGCGAGAGCTACAGCCAGGTAGTCAAGAGACGCCCGGACTCTTTGGGTCATTTTTTGTATTTTGTAAGAGGTTTTTTTACGGGGCAACCCTCAACCCCTAAACCCCTAAACCCCTAAACCCTAAGCCCTAAACCCTAAACCCTAAACCCTAAACCCTAAAGGTTTGGTATGGCTTTTGTGAGGGTCTCAGGAGTCTTAGACTTTATCTAGTCTTCCAAGAGGTAGGGGTACTGCGACGCTGGGACCCTGCCCCGCCCTGAAGTCTTTATACATCTTTCAACTGACTCCGAAGCTCTAAGCCCTAAACCCTAAACCCTAAACGCCGTAGGTTGTGTATCATGGGGTCTTTGGATTGAAGCCCTCAGCCCCTATCCCCAAACTCTGAAGCCAACACTGGAGCCGCAAGCCCATGTGATCACCCTAGACCCTAAATCCTAAACCCTAAACCCTAAACCTTAAACCCTAAACCCTAAACCCTAGACCCTAGACCCTAAATCCTAAACGCTAAACCC